TGTATTTGCTCTGTAAATTTTCACCCAAATCACAATTTAAAAAAAAAAAAAAATGGAGTTTCCATTTAGGTCTGAAGTCACCCTATTCAGATATGCTAGCTGGCACCTTGATTTTTCTAAGGTTCACCACCACAAACCTGAATTTTCAAAGAATACATTAACAAAATTATGTTTTCTCAAATATCCTCTTCCAGGCTATTAATTTTAACCAAGGCTGAATCAAAATTTGGGGCTTATAGACACTAGTGAAAATTGGATACAGCAACAGTTGATTCTTTGGGTTGTGATAAACTTTGGCTTCCAAAGTTTAAGAGTCACAAGCAAGGAGATTCCAAGATCCTTGGTGACCCCCAGCTCCAAAAATCCTACCTCATTATCCTACTTTCCTGTCTAAACAATAACTTGCCCTTAATTGCCTTTTCCACAGTTCTGCTGTATGGGTATAACTCTCACTGGCATTTTAACCCCAGGGGCATGTGCTTATTACAAAGTATATGATACAAACCTCATGAACAATTCTTAAAAAACAAATACAACCACTGCCATGGAGTCGGATCTGACCCATAGCGACCCCTCCTTGGGTTTCCCAGGCAGTATCACTAAGGAAGTAGATTGCCCAACCTTCCTTCCAAGGAGTGGCTTGTGGGTTTGAACCGCCAGCCTTCTGGTTAATAGTCAAATGGCTTAGGCACTACACAAGCATAACCAGTATGTAAAAGCATGACAGTACATTAGAGTGACTGCATTTTATATTTCACTTGTAACATATATAGGGGTATTTTGTTTTAAATTAGGGGATAAGAAATAAAGAACATATAAGTAGTATAAAATTCCAAAAAAGTAAAAACTTGGTTTCCTTCTCATTCCAGTCCACTAGTCATCTGGTTCCCTCTCAGAAGGCAAACCACTGTAACCAGTTCCTTATGTATTCTGTATCAGGAGTTAAGGAATTAATGTTTGGCTGAAAACTGTTGTTAAGAAAGTGTGTGTTTTGACAAATCCCTGTAAAATTTCTTTGCTTCCCCTGAACTTCTCTCTTGGACGTGAAACTATTTCCCTTTGCTTACTTTACGAAATAAAAACTGGCTGTTTTCTCTTAGGGACAAGACACTTGTGCATCTTAAGGTCTTGAAGGTACGGTAGTCCTCCATTCCATGAAATGCAATTATTCCTTTAAAAAAATCTTTTAGGTTCTAACAAAGTGTTAATCTAACGTTTCCCACTAACACAGGTTATTGCCCTGCTCAGCAAGATAAGACAGAGAAGATTAGAGAAAATTGTACTCTGGAGCACTGTTGGAAATTAGCCTGCTGAAGTAAAGGCTAGAATTACATTTAAAC